TTTGTCAAAATTTGATCTTTAAATGCTTATAAAAAAAAACTGTGCCTATGTATTTTTAATATTTTTCAACTGATATTGTAACAATATATCAGGAGCCTTTTATTAAATTTTTACGCTTTTTGACCCAACAGATAAAACTTAATTGATATTTATAGAATTAAAAACTAAAAAAATTGGAAACTGAAAATGTCCGTAAACAGCTCAAAAAGAGTCAAAATATTTTCAAAATTGTATGGTGTATAGGAATTGCTAATATAAATATTCAGTGAAATTTTCATGAATCTATAGTTATTCGTTTTTGAATTACAACAAAATAAGGAAATCGCTACATGAGAAATCGAGTGAATATCCAATGTTGTAAAAATTTGAATTTCAAATGCTCTCAAAAATTAAATTTGACTTTCTTATAGACATTTTTTTTTTGTTAAAGGTAGATAATCTTATAATGAATCTTGTATTACATTTTAAAACTTTAGATTTAAAAAGAAAAATTTTTACGAATTCTTAACTCAAAATAATTTGCTAATTTTCATGATTTTTCCATATTTTGTCAATTTTTGAATTTTAAATGCTTTTAAAAAAAAATTAGGGATTTTTAATATTTTTCAAATGCCATTGTAACAATATAGTAGGAGCCTTGTATTACATTTTCAAGCTTTTTTAACCAACAAATAAAATTTTATTGATATTTTTTGGAAAATAATTTTGAAAATGTTATCTTGTATAGAAAATCCTAATAGAAACATTCAGTCAAGATTTCATGTACCTACGGTCATTTGTTTAAGAGTTGCACCAAAAACCAAAATCGATTTTTTTGAAAACAGATTTTAGTGTAAAAATCCCCGTGGCCATTGATTATTATTTATTATTGTTGATGACCGTAACGGCATAACACTATTATTCTCTTTATTACTTTTATTATATAAATATTTATGTTGTTGTACAATACTTTTCATCTTATAATTTATAAATACTTTAACTTTAACACTAGCTATTAGGGTACCTCTATAATTTTTCAATATTACTGTATTGGTACCTATACCTATTTATTATTTTTCATATATCATGATTTGGGGCACTGTGCCTCAAAATGCGTGCCTAGGAAAAATATCTCAGCTGATCTAGATTAGAGATGTGCTGACCCTGTAGAATATATGCATAAACTATATTGCTCTCTCTAAACAGCCTTACCCTCTCTCAAAGTAAGTTTTGATGCAGTCTGTCCTTAATGGTGCTGACGGTAGTGGATGGACGGAGGCAATACAATATTGCTGATTAAATAAAATAAAATAAACGAGTCTCTCTGTTGAACGGTTATGCATATATTGTAATACAGGTTAAACATGGGCAAACCAAAACTCTAAACATGAAAGATTAAAATTAATTACAAACATGTCACATAGCGTGTGTCCTATCCAGAATTATATGTCACATACCACTTATTATTATTTGGGGCCTTGGGGGATAAAATGACGTGAAAAGAAAACATCCACCACACGACTCGTCTGGAGTAGTTCGGCGAGTCCTGGATCATGGCTGTCTATAATCATAGACTATATGTCACCTCTACACCGCCATCTCCTCCCGTTGTGGTACGCACGTACTGAGTCGGATTGGTGGTTTTAGAGAAAATATAGGTACCGGTCGGTGGTCGACGTTTTATGACAAATCCGGAACCGTATTAGTGTCAGATCGTCATCGTATATTATACGTAATTTAGATTATTGTAAATACATTAAAGATACCTCGCAATAGTAGCTTATACTTACCTCATTTAATATCAAATTAAACTCAAAAGCAATCATTACATCGAATCACCAATAATATATATACCTAACTATAATATTATATTATTATAGTAAGTATATATTCAACTTTAACAGTTTTTGGAAATTGTATCACAACTTCAATGACAAATTTCTTCATTAAATTAATCTAAGTATCGACGGGTCAGCTGGTTGGCCAAAATGGGGTATGCACTTTTCATTTTAAAATTCAATAAAAAAGAGGCATTAGGCGGTATAGGCGGGATACGCACGATGATAGATCCAGTGCTGCAGGTGACAAGCCAACACATACCTACATTTTCAACTATTTATAATTCTACATGTTTTAAAGAAATATTTAATCTTATAATATAATTATATAGATAATTAATACATTTAAAAATTGTTATAAAGCCTGAGTAGAAGATTAGATGAATGAATTTTATAGTTAGTAATATTTAAAAATGTACATAAAAATTATTTGCATCCAAATCAACATGGGTACTATTTGACTACATATAGTTCATATATTATGTAGGACGTATAACGTATAGGTACAGTTTTGTATCGATATGATTATGTTCACTTCTGCTTTTTAAATTACGAATAACATTAATTCCGATTGTATATCACTGACAATACGGTTATTAGCATAATTTTCGGTGTGTGTAGCTTGTACATATTTTATAGTGGCTGGTTTCTAAGTAAGTACCCAACTCTAGCTATAGTTTGCAGGGGAATGGTGAAAACGATTTTACACACAGTATGTCATTACTGTTATTATTTACAACCCTCGTCGCCTGCTATCCACCAAGGTCCAAGGATGTGAGGGTCAACTTGAAGAGTCGACCCGGTACCGCATTAATTACATACGAAAAAATGACAAATAATAAAATTGAAAAAAAACCACAGAATGCAAATTACTACCAAATCGGGTTTGTGATGCAAATTTTCATTTGACTTTGGGTCAATGTCGCTGACTCGTGGAACACTAAAGGTTACGTGCGAACACTGTACGTCGTTTTTACATTTTATCATATAAATCTATATATGTACTCAATAACCTACATGGGTGTATGTATATATCTACATACGATCATACGACATTATTATATTATAATTGCCGGCATTGTAAGGCGTCGAAAGCGCATCACATTACCTCGAAGAATTTAAAGAATCTTTTAAAATTAATCATCCACTCTCAAATGTTCAAATAAAAAAAAAAAAACATTTTATATTTCACTACCTATACAAATATTGAATGCTTTTATACCAGTGTGAACATATATGTAGGCTTATCGTGGAATATGTCACATCTATATTATATTATTGTAAAAGTTTCCCATGGAGCTCTAAAGAAATTTGAATTTATATTAATATCATGTCTACGCAGAAGAAAAATCACTCTTGCCATTTTATATTTCTAATATTTCGTCTCAATTTATTTTCATTTTAATTGTATTGATCTTACCGAAGGCATAAAAAAAAGTCATTAATATATCTCGATTACAGTTTTGCGTATTATATAATAATTTAACTATTATACTCTTTAAGAAATTATTTTTTTTCTAAGAATTTTATTTTTTGTTGAATATATTTTAATAATGTTGTGAACATGTTGCTTATAACAATGATTTCGTTTTTAACTACCAATTAGTCCAAAGTCAGTAACAATTTCTCGGAAATTAAATATTAGGCTAGGATTTATATACATTGGTATATTTTTTTTTTTTGGCAGTGTTCTTTTACAAATTTGTTTAGTAGAGTATTTTATGTGTTAATGGTATTCACGAATCACCTCATATTCATATAAGCTATAGCAAATTATAAACACGAAAATCAAATTTTTGTAGTATATTTAAAAAAAATTTATATAACATATTGTAAAAAATATTTTTAAAGCTCCTTGTCGTATTTTAAAATTGTTAAAATATACTTACATTTACATCAAAAACCTATACTTTTATGACGTGGGATTTAACGGAATTCCATGTAAAATTAAATTTATTTCAATTCTATAAAACCAGTAAGTAATTTTTTTTTAGTGAAAAATTAAGTAAAATCTATTGAAAATAATTTAGCTTGCATTAAGGGGATTGGAAGCAGTGATTTTCTGTCTTTGCCTGATAGGTACACTTGTAACATAGGAATTCAGATGTGTTTTCATTCCTATTGATCTAGTGAAGCGATAAGGATTCTAAAAACAGATTTGCATTTGTTATCACTCATTATGTCTGCTTGAGATCGACTTTCCCACATTTTTGATTTTATCCCATAATACTAAAAAAAAATCGTATCTACTAAAAAAGGAAATGGAATATTTAATATTTTGAAGAAGTTAAAATCAAAAAAATAATAACCGGAAAGTTGATTTCAAGTATACTTGTCGAAAAATTCAAATCTGATTTTAGAATTCTTATAGCTTCTCTAGATCAATAGGTACTTTGAAATTAAAATACGTCTAAATTCCTATGTTTCACGTGTGTTTGACAAAAATAGAAAATCACAGCTTCCAAACAACTTTGGTTTTTTCGCTTAATACATTTTTATCCTTTTAACTTTCACATATAAATCCTGGCCCTACTTCTTTAAAAAAAAATTCTTCATTATGAGTAGTTTAGCGTTAGGTACTTACTAATTGCCATGCCACTTAATTTTTTATATGAAAAAAAAATCACACTTTGCTAACAATATATTTTGTAAAACGAAATCAAATACATTACGAGTTAAACTGTTACGGGGTATACATATTATTTTATAATATAAAATTAATTCAATAGTACCTACAACATTTATTTTTGGATTAATTTTAAATCTATTTACTTATATCTTTAGCTGTTTGGGATAGTTTTAAACTTTATCCAAATTTAATTTAGACTTTAAAATTCTTCGAAATATTTTATAGTTTAAAAGTATTGGTACGACAAAAATTATAGGTGTAATATAATTATTAGAGCCGTAGGGGCATTACCAATACGTAAAATAAGCTTACTAACATCTCAAAATATTATAAAAAGAGAGTGCAATTGTTTTCTCTTTAAAAATCCCCCCCTACAAAAAAAAAAAATATATTATGTTGACGCCCCCTTTGACGGCCACTTAATGTAGATGTGGATGTGGATGGAAAATGTCTACGATTTTTCACTAGGCAGTGTGTTTATGCAGATAAACTTGCGAGAATTGAAAAATTCCAAAAAAACATTTCAGCTTTTGTAGTTTTATACATATACTTACCCTGAAGACCGAATAAATGGGACGGTGGTGTCTTGTTAGCTACCGCTGCGGCAGCCGCAGCCGCAAACCACCCTCCATACAGCAGCGACGAGTAAGGAAAGTTATGACCGTTAAGTTCTGCGATGCTATCTGTGTGCAATTAAAATAAATTAATATTTTTTATTCATTGACATTGTTTTTTTTTCAAAGTTCAACAGTTCAATATGACAATACCTAACGTTTTATTAATTAGCAATTATGTGCCGAATTTCTATCGCTTATATTAATATATTATCAGATATATAATTATAGTCAACGAAATAATATAAAATAGACCAAAATAAAGATACCTATCCAGGTTATATCCATTATAGATTTCTGGTGTCTGGTCAAGCCATAGGTATTATTAGTAGCTATCATATAACAATTATAATATTAACACTATTGACTAATGACTATTCATATCATTAGTTGCATCCAAAAACCTCACACTTATGCAGTGGTGTAATTTTAGTTTTTAAAAGTGGGGGGGAAGTTTTTATCAGCCCAAATGGATAACTTAAAAATCAACAGCTCGCAAGCACATATTAATATATTATGTATGATATGATGTTCCTTTTACATATACATACATAACAACTTTCAGTCACGTTCACACATGCGTCTGAATACAAAATATATATTGCAACTATTATTTAGTAATAAATTACCAATTTATGATTGTGACAACAATTTCTTATTACTTACACAGTATAATATTTTCCTATAAATATAGTCATGTTTTTCGCTAATATAATATCTAATAATGGTTTATCAAAAACTACCGTGCACCGACCCATTGTGCTGCTTTTAAAATCAGACAGGGGCAAATGCCCACCTTGCCACCCCCAAATAAAGCTACTGCACTTATGATTTCGATTCCAAAAATGTTGATGGATAAAAACCACACACTTTATCAGTTCAAATAGTTCAATGTGTAGCAAAATACCACACACTCATACTGCGGGTTAAAAGTACTTAACAGACCGAACACTATTTTTAATCTGTAGACTAAATGTATCATGAACATCAAAAATATTAACCAAGTTTATCAAAAAAATTGGTAGAAGCATTACATTTCGCTTTAAATTGCGGTATTCAGATATTCTTAGTAGTTGCCACCTAAAATTAAAAAATGATTTATGATTAAATTTAAAAAGAAGATAAAATTGTTTTTGTCAAATATAAAAAAATTATTGTGACGAGTGCCAATTTAGCTGACTGTGATTTATTTTTTATATTTTTATTGAAATAAATAGGTGTATACATAATATTATATATTACATTTAAATAAATATATATTTTAGATTCTGTGCGGAGCGAGGAAGCTAGTGGTTTTACAATGGTGTTAATTTTTTTTTAATTTTAACTTATTTTTTTTTATCCTGTATACAACATTTCTACCAGAAGGATTGCTTCGATTTAAAAATATAGTATCTTATATTTTAGAAAATTGAATCAAGCTGGTACTTTATAGATTTAATTTTTCGATTTTCTCAATAGTTATTTAATGCCACTTGAAAAACCACCGACATATTACGAAAAACCGATAAAAACAGGATTTTAATTTCTAACGCTTTGTTTACCAACTACCACATAAGCGAGTAAAAATAAAAATAACGACTTTGGTTATTTTGTTGTAATATATAATATTAATTCAATTTACAGACTATAATAAATAATAACAATATAAAAGATCTAGACTGACAAACCGTCTCAGAATCGTTTTTCTTATACAATGGAATTATATCATTGAATTCAACTTTAATTCAATCCATTATACAGTGACCCACATGTAGCCTACTGTACAGCAGAGCGATATCCACTCACCCGCTTTTTAAGTAATTAACCTACAAAGTGTGTAGTTTATGGAAATAAAAACCATAAAAAGTGTATGGTTATAACATACTTACTAAAAGTGTGTGGTTTTGTCCTGTATTTTATCTAATGTGTCCGGTTTTTGGATACCAATTACCTACATGAGAAATAAATAGCCACAATATATTCTACTTATTATAATTGTATATACTTACTGTATATATATTATATTATATACATACCGTTATGACAACATAATATTATATACGTTTATCGTTTAATAAGGTATTATGACATATATATATATAGTCTATACTCAGGTTGTATAACCACTTATTTTTTTAATCATATTTAACAATTTAAATTTAAAATTGTTTAACACTATTAATGGTTTTCACTTTTCCATTCTATCTAAATACCGCTATAAATTCAATGTTGAATTAAATATTAAACTACTTCTACAGTTCTACTGACATTTAACATGAGTGAGTATAGGTACCTACTAAGTAGTATTTTACTATTATCACAATTTACAAGTAGGAAAAGGAACCGATATTTAGTAGGTATGTTCAATGTTGCGTTAAAACTTAAAAATACTTTTGGATTTAGTATTTACCTTATCAAATTTGCAAGCAAAATAACATAATTAATTAAATGATATATTATGTACATATTGTACATAGTAATTAAAAACACAGAAGTATAGGTATTATATGGTTTAGGTACCATATAATTTATGTTCTATTTATTTAAGTACCTATGTAAAACAAGTCGATGGTCCCGTCATCGATGCTTGTATGTTATCGTATCGATATATATATTATATATATATATATATATTATATATATATATATATATACACAGTATATAGTAGGTCGGTAGGTATATAAAATAAATTGCCGCAGTTTGTGTAATGTAGGTATCTTATCGGTTTAGATTGTATTATGTGAAATATTTTTTTTTGGCGTAGTTTACATATCGACTTTTAGAAAAATGTTAATTTTTCCGAAGTTTACATACAAGCAATATAATCACTGCTGACTTAGGACCACACGCGTATAGCACCGCGAAACATCGCCACACCAGTTTGTACTCACCTACGCCGCGGAACGCCAAGTCGTTTCGGTGACGATTGCCGGGGTCTGATGTCTCTGGACAGGAGTCGATGGTTGTCGCGGCTGCAGCGTCACCTGCACCATTGAACCTACCCAGGATGCGGTCTATGGAGAACTTGTGATGGGCCAAGGTGCCTCGTGGTTCCGCGACGTCGCTGCCACTGTCTGAGGACTCGGAGTGTCTAGACGGAGACTTGATGATCGCCTGGTCATCGTAACTGGTCATCGCGGTCACCGCGTTGTATGCCACTTGATCGTAAGCACCAGGCGAGAGTGCGCCGTCAGAGTCTGAGGACGTGTCCATATCTCAAAGGCAAACTAAATAAATACGGTCACTGATAGAATTATTTCAAATTTGTTTTATTTGTTTTGTACTTAGGCGCACATACATAGGTAAGCATTTTGGATCAAGGGGTGTTCATTATAAATTACGCCCCAAAAATAATTTTCAGTATGTTTTCGTTTATTTGACAACAAAATATAGGTACAGTCACACAGACCTGCAATTTTGGCTGACACGATAATATATAACTGAAAATTGTTATTCTGTATATTCACAGTTAACTCAAACAATACCTAATATATGAATGGCAGTTTGTTAAGAGGGACCCATGTACATTTTCAACTACTTTTCAGGAGGAACAAAAAACAGTTTTCCTTTATTTCTATTTGCGTAATAAGATCAATCATCACAATTTAGATTAAATAGTATTGTATAAAAAATAAATAGCAAAAAAATATTATTTAAAAAAAATTTGTACTTTTATAAATAATGAATTTTGCAATGTGACATAGGTACCTTTAAACCAATTCTAATAGTTTTATTAATTTAAGGTATCATAATTTAATATAATAGTCACATTTTAAAATAATATAATACCTTCTTATTTATTTTATCCAATTAAATAGATAACAATGCAACTAAATAACAAACTTTGAATATAAACAAATGAATAACAATCTTAAAAAAACAATATTTTTTTATCAAAATTAAAAAAAAAGAAAAACTTATGAACCTAATTTTATTGAATCAGTATTTGATTTACAAATTATAGTCATATAATATGTGTTTACATAAGAGGATGAATAATATACAACAAAACTATTTTTGTCAAAAATGTAACTTGGGTTCCTTTTAACACATTTCCATTCATATAGTGTTCAATTTTATACAGTAGGGTTTAGCCCCCTCCCTCCTGATTACGATTAAGGCCCCCCAAGTAATATTCTTTATTGATTTACATTTAAGTTGCCTATGGGTTATTTTAAATTAATAGTTTTGTTAGGTGGGCTGTAGCCTATCCCATAATTTTAACCCTAGTTCCACCTATGATGTATGAGTATGTTACAACATTTTTATAATTAAGTTTTACAGGCTAAAAATCATACATTTCAGGTATAAAATAGTAAATTGAATTCAATGAGTCAGATCTTGGAAGATGATATTTGATTTATACTAAAATAATCATGTTCACCTATAAATACTAATAATATTCAAAAATTTGGATTTATCTATTTATCTTTATATAGATAAAAAAATTATTTTTTGTCTTTACCTACATCTAGATAATTTTTTATGAAATTATCTATATCTTATCTAGATACATTTTTTGTTATTTGAGCCTAACACTCGTTCATGAAATTATAATATAATAATTTGATGATCGTATACAACAAAGTTAATGGCAAATATTGATCCAAAATTAAATATTGTCAAAGGTCGCTTAGAAAGTGCAAGAAACCAATAGTGTATGCATCTGAAAAATAGGTAGGTAAATATCCTACATTCCATCTAAAAATCGTACGCCCAAGTCCTAAGAGACCAGCTCAACCATGTTGAAATTATGTGAAAATACTAAAAAACATATATACCTATGTTATAAAGTATAAATTTATAAATATTTAAATTTACCTACTTATGAAAGTAATATAGTCATGTAATACAAAATGTATATTTAAACTTTATTACGTCATAAGTTAAGATTTGAGGTTGTGTAGTGTACTAATGTGTATAATTGATCTATAGACTATAAGCCAATTTATAAGAATTAAAAAGTTTTAAAATGGAATATAAAAATTAATTTGAATATTAATTTTACATCTGATAGCCTTAAAATTTAAATATTTCAAATTAATAATTGTTTTTATTTAGGTAATCCAGGTAATTGTATAAATCAATTTTTATGAATACATGTATATATTAACCATCGATACATAATATTTATCTCAACATATATTTATATAGGTGTATATTTGATCTAATTCAGTGAATTTTTTTTCAAGAAGATTGTTCATATTATATAAAAAATGTTTTTATTAATCGTGTCAACTTACCCGCAGTGAAATTATGTTACGAGGGTCCACAGTAAAAAAACAACGTTAACCACGGTTCGTTATATATTTCGTTTTATACATCTACTTCGGTACATATTGTGGCATTATTAACAACATACAGTTACGCAAGAGTTAAGTAATAACAATAATATTGAATATTTTTCGGGTGATAAAAAATGAAGAAAATATACCGGGGAAATGGACCGGGGCCAACGAAGAGGTACGAGCGGAATGAAACGTGAAAATGCGTGGTGCGAGTGAATCACGTTAAACTGAACGGTTTTAAAGTTTATCCCTCGTTTATCCATTTTGGCCATTTTTCCCACCTACCCTTTACGCAGTTTCCTCGCGGCCGCCTCATCCCTGCCCCATCCACTCCCACTGGGTCCACCCTCCTCCGATGCCACCCGCTCGCACAGGTCCTTTTATACGCCTTGTAAAAGTTCTCAACGTCTTCCAGACACGATGCGGTCTCCTGGGCAACGGTTTTAGACCGTTTTCGACAAATGGCCGTTTCCATTAAGGCCCAATAATCAGTTATACACGACCAAAAAGCTCTTCGTCTCTTTTGTTGTCCTGCTTCTCCTCCTTCTCCTCCTCCTCAGCCATCTATTCCACCCTATTATACAATCCATTTACCCTCAAACACACTCACACATACAAAATATGAACGGAAGAGAGCGTTTAATACGGAAAATGTTCTCAAAACACCTATTTCCCGGAGATGGTGTTCACACAACAACAATTGACGAAATACGCATATACATAATATAATATAACATATTATACAGAGTGATAGAGATGGCATATTTAAAAATTTTAATGGATTTAAACTTGGTAGATAATTCAATTCTACTTATTTGAGAAATGAGACTACAGTTTTTTTGTTAATAATATATATATTTAGGTACAGGCGCACGATGTCAAAACTAAATAACTTAGAAATTCCTCAATCAAACAGTACCTATAGTAAAATTAATAATAGGTACCTAAAATTTTTTTTTGGGGGGGTTGAGGCTTCTACAACTGAGTTCATTAGCCTGGGAACTGTGGGGGAGGTTATTGTAAGTTTTGAACATGAGTGTGTGTGTTTGTTTTGGCAGAATTTTTAAGTGGGCACCAGTAGGTATCTACCATGCCAGGGTGGGGGATGGGGGCCTCTCTCTCCGGACACCGTGACTATGCCCGAAGAAAAATGCCACCCTTGGCCGAGTTCGAATTGGTGACGGTGCGAGTCGCAACCGACGTCTTAGTCCACCCGGCCACTCCGTCCCCCACCTATAAAATGATTAACATGTTATACGATGATTTATTCTTAAAGTAGCAACTAGTAGTATGTAAAAGAAAAAAAACATTATGTTGTCAAAATATCACAATAAAACATTTTTTTAAATTAGACTGAAAGTAATAATAAATTATAAGCATATCACTATCTATTTATCATACATGTATAATGTATATTGTATACATACTACATCATAGATAGTACACAATTATAGCCCGTGAGTTAAAACTTTAATTTAAAAATTGTATTCATATACATAAATAGGTACATAGTAATACTCAATGATTGTAGTGGAAAAAGTAAAATATTTATCAAACTAATAAAAATCTGTCTGATTTATTGTATTTATAGTTATAAGTAACCACTACTGAGTGCCCTCCTCCAACTGTCATTCTCGATATGTAAATACTTTATCAAAATTAATTATTGTACTAAATTGTTGTATAGATTCTAATTATATTTTAATAAAAAAAAAAAAAAAAATAACCAATATTTTAGTATGTTATTGTACATAAATAAATTCAACATTTTCAATTATTTCTATTAAAAAAATACGAAATGAAGGTACCTTGTATTTATATTTTACATTTCTCTTCGCAAATAAAGCATATTAAGTGACATACTGTATACTAGGCTACAATTATTTAAATTTAATTTTGCTTCGCTTGAAATATCATTTGAAAAAGTTTTGAAATAGTTATATTACAATTATAATATTATAATATATTATATTGTATTATATTATAAATTTATCCAATACATTTTAATTATCTATCGTGTTATTAATAAATGTCCAAATTATAATCTATTATTAAAATAATTGAACTATTATGAGTTATTTTTTAAACAAATATAGTGTGCACATGTAATGTACCTACCTCAAAAACTACCTGTTGATTATTAAATTGGCTTACTTAAATTGAACCTAAATGGTTCACATGATATTTATATGCGTGTAGCATTGGCGCAAGTGTGAAATTATAGAGATAAAAAATATATAACAGTAATTTATTTTAGGTATTTAAAAATTGATTGTTTTATAAATATTGTGAAACAACTTATAGCCAAAGAAAATGTATTTATCCTTTTACTTTTATTTAACACAGGCAGTGTCGGGCAAAAAATGTTTACGATTAACCGATGATTACAGTTCATATGGATTTTATCTATAACTGAATATTTATGAATTTCATTAAATATACACTCGTTGAATTTACCATTACTTAAGGATTAAGATGATGCACTATACATTTTAAAAATAATAACAATTCACTATAAAATAATTAATTAGTGAAATTAATCGTGGATTAATGATTACATAGTTAATCATAGTGTATGATTAATCTCATTAAGTAATTGTTTTATAGTGAAATTTTATTATTTTTAACATCAATTGTACCGTCTTTGGTCTTCGTTTTACGTATGCAATGATGATTTTATATAATTGAATTCAAATTCAATATCATCCATTACAGTGACCCACTTGTAAGTTGTAACCCACTGTACATTAGAGTGACTTCCACTTATCCATTTTTTTTTACCTTAGCAGACCAGAGTTTATATTCGTCTATCTTAACATTTAGTTTAAATTAGTACAAAATATTTTAATCATTCTGCAGTTATTATTTCGCAAACAGTGTATATTATATTAATATTAAATTCATCTGTGTTCCCATAGGGCATAGGATATATATACATTGCCTATAATACCAAGAATTAGTGAACCCGAGAGGTCCTGTCGTTTTAGATTCTGAGTAGAACGATGAATATCTTGATTTTACAATGATGTGTGTTTTTTTTTATTTTATTTTATTTTTTGTGTGTCTGTATACACGACGATAGGTAGGTAGTCGAAACGATTTTCAACTTCAGTATCTTGTTCGATGGCAAAGTGAATATTTTTGGGGAGGTCAAAATTTAAAATTCCCAGTAATTTTCGAAAGCCCCAAGAAAAACAAAAGAAAAATTAAGGAAAAACGGAAATTTTCAATGCAAAATCGATTTTTCACAAAATGGACTTTGGTTTTTGGTGTAACTTTTAAATAAATGACCAATACATGAAATTTCCATCAGCTGTTTATATTTGGATTTTCTATACACGATAAAATTTTCAAAATATTTTCATTTATTTTGAACTGTTTAGGGACATTTTCAGTTTCCAATTATATTAGTTTTAGATTCTGAGTGAAACAATGAATGTATTGATTTTACAATGATGTGTGTATTTTTTTTATTATTTTTATTTGTGTCTGTCATCAAGTTTTAGGACAGTAAAAGTGCTTGGATTTTCTTCAACAGTAGCTTTTCTGATAGGAAAGTGAATCTAGTTGGTACTTTGGGGGGTCAAAAGTAAAAAACTCCCAGTAGTTTTCAAAAGCGGCGTGAAAAACAAAATAAAAATTAAGGAAAAACGGGAATTTTTACACTAAAATCTGTTTTCGAAAAAATCGATTTTGGTTTTTGGTGCAACTCTTAAACAAATGACCGTAGGTACATGCAATTTGACAGAATGTTTATATTAGCATTTTCTATACACTATAACATTTTCAAATTTTTTTGATTTATTTTGAACTGTTTAGGGACATTTTCAGTTTCCAATTTTATTAGTTTTTTTTTTTTTATGAATATCAATAAAAATTTATTAGTTGGTTAAAAAAGCTTGAAAATTTAAAACAAGGCTCCTACTATATTGTTTCAAAGGCAGATGAAAAATATTAAAAATCCTTAGTCACAGTTTTTTTTTTATAAGCATTTAAAGTCTAAAAATTGACAAAATATGGAAAAATCACGAAAATTAGCAAATTATTTTGAGTTAAGAATTCGTAAAAATGTTTCTTTTTAAATCTAAGGTTTTAAAATGTAATAAAAGATTCCTTATAAGATTATCTACCTTTATCAAAAAAAAAAAAAATGTCTATAAGAAAGTCAAATTAAATTTTTATGAGCGTTGGAAATTCAAATTTTTACAACATTGGATATTTACTCGATTTCCCATGTAGCGATTTCCTTATTTTGCTGTAATTCAATAACGAATAACTGTAGGTACATGAAAATTTCACTGAATATTTATATTAGCATTTCCTATACACCATACAATTTTGAAAATATTTTGACTCTTTTTGAGCTGTTTACGGACATTTTCAGTTTCCAATTTTTTTAGTTTTTTATTCTATAAATATCAATTAAGTTTTATCTGTTGGGTCAAAAAGTGTAAAAATTTAATACAAGGCTCCTGATATATTGTTACAATAGCAATTGAAAAATATTAAAAATACATAGGCACAATTTTTTTTTATAAGCATTTAATGATCGAATTTTGACAAAATTTATCAAAATCTTGAAAATTAGCAATCATTGTTATTAATAAATTATAAAACGTTCAGTTTTTATAGCTAAGGATTGCAAATTTAAAGCAAAGGTTCTCATAAATAGTTCATACTGTAACCAAAAAATCTAACTAAAGTGAAACTTCTAAAGTGTACTAATATACATCAGTTATGATAGTATCACGGTTTGTTGTTGATGTATAACGCGTTATAAGTACCTAATGAATATTGTGATATGATTAATTTGGAATTTATTATATTTATCTATCATAGGTGAATTTTTTTTAATATCATAGATATGTATATAATATGTCTTATACCTAGACTGACATACCGTATCCACTCAGAATCGTTTCTGTATACAATGATGTTATATCATTGAATTCAAATTTAATACCATCTACCTATTATACAATGACCCACTTGTAATCTACTGTGCAGCAGAGCACCTTTTTTTTTGAAAACAAAAATATTAGTATTTAATTTGTTATCTTTGATACCCACTGATAGTACCGTCCCACACCATATGTTGATCGTCTCATCCATTATTATAATATTACAGTCAGCTACTTACAAATATAAACGATGATGAACATGCAATCGCTCTGTATAACATATACTATATTTATATAACATTTTATATTATTATTTATTAGTTTATATTTATGTATAAACCGAAGCGCGTGGGTGGTAAGCCGCAATCTACAGTACCACGGTTGTATTATATTACTTAATATATACCTATAGGTATATAATATATATTATAACGTTCGGCGGACTTGGTTTAAAGGGCTCGGCGTCGGCGCGAGTAATGATGTTTCGGTGGAAAGGTGTTTGCGCCACCCTTGCCCCACCCTGGGCTGTTGTTGGCACTTAACAGACGTTTTAAAGAACCCGCTGAGGGTGAAGTGTAGGTGGATGATCGTTTCCGTGCGAGTTATATTATATAGGGACGGTGAACAGGTAAAAACAGGTGTTTACGACACGTTTGTTTTCCACGGGCCGGTCGAGCGGCCTTTTGTCCACCACGTTTGTTAGCCGCTACAACCCTCTCCCTCCTCTCCCATCGCACCACAAAACCACCGCCGCAAAGGGCGTGCCTAGCAAAACGGCCGCGCTCCGCCCCCGCGATTGCGTGCGCGCACAGCCGCACTCGGACCCGATTCCACTCGGAGGGTAGTTTGATTTGGCGATCTCCCATGGTACGATTCACGAGAGTGTGAGGTTGTACGCTTTCCCCTTAGGAAGCTGCAAGTCGGACTGACGGTACTTTATTATTCTTGTCTATACGAGGGGTGTACATTTTAGAACAAGCCTTATGCCGTGGTATAGCTGCTAACTATATATTATTATATCCATAGCGCAACTAGAGCTCAAATATTCGGGGTGCTAAAATGATGTTATGTTATGAAATGATTTTCACAAAATTTCTCCTATTATGTAATCTAAATTTATGTTTGTAACATCCTAAAATTAAATTTAAAAAAAAGAAAAATTATGATTTAGTACATATTACAATTTAAATAAAAATAAAAATGATCAAAACAACATACGTATGTATCTTTTTTTTCAGTTTTGGACCGATGGCGCCGAGGGGTCTGCTTTTGCATTTCATCCTCAGCGCATGTTACCTATACCTGTTTAATACATTATTTAATTATTTATGTGATAAGTATATTACGTTATAGTGGTTATTGAAGGGATTATCATTATCATGGTTCATAAAACATTCAATAGTAGATACAGCTATAGAATCCATAGCAATCTCGAGATTTTTTTTGAAAATCTAAACTTTAAATTATTAATAATTAGTCAACAATAGGAAACTAAACAGTACCTAATTCTCCAATAAGATTAAATCATTAAATCCAGTAGTTTTTTCTAAATAAATATGCACTTAATTATTTAGTGTAGTTATTTTAGATTCTGAGAGGAGCGATGAATTTATTTATTTTACAATGATATGTGTGTTTTAAAAAAAAAAAAATTATTTTGTGTCTGTCATCGCTGTTTGGGGACTGACTGCTTTGAATTTCTTCAACAGTATCTTATTCAATAGGAAAGTATTCGGAAGGTCAAAGTATAAAATTCCCTATAAATTTCAAATACTAAACAAAATACAAATTAGAGGACAATCAACACCTTTTTTTTTATTATTTAGTATGGATTGAAAATTATTTTTTTAGAGTAACTCAGAAACTAATAAATAATAACTAATACTTGGAACTTTCACAAAATGTTTATACTAGCATTTGCTAAACACGATAAAATTAAAAATATGTTGACCTTGTATACCTACATGTATGGCTACATAATATACCTAGGTACACTTTCATAAGTTGATTGTATACACCATAAAAAATATTAAAAATACATTGTCACAACATTTTTTTATCATAACATTTTATTTTTATATCTATGATTTAAAAATTAATACAAGATTCCTCACAAGATTTTCTACCTTAAAAAAAAGTTTACTTGAAAGTCACATCGATTTTCTATGACGTTTAAGGTTTACCTGGACATTTCATAATGTCACAATTTCTAACCGAACGATTTTCTTATTATGTTGTTACTCAAAAACAAATAACCCCTGGACACTCAACATTTTCACTAAATGTTTATATTAGGATTTTCTATATACCTAGGTACTATAAATATTTTGACTATTTTGCTATTTATAGACATTTTAAATTTAGTTTTTTTTAGTTGTATTCTAAAAATATCACTAGGTTTTGATTCGTAGCAGTATATCATCAGGTAGGCAATCTACCTACATTAGATCGAGGACCCTGTGCTGTTTGTACGTAACTTTATAATTTATCTCTAAAGTATATCAAAGTTGTACAAAGTATGTCACTGAACTCTTCCTAAACGGCTGGACTAATTTTGAATGCCGAGACTGTCAACCAATATTTCCTCCTGATCCACGAAGACTTGAGATTGTTTTATGTACATAACTTGTATGTGAGTATAATACGCTCAATATTTACGTGATTGCGATACATGTAATATCAAAACACAGCGTCCAAAAAATTAAATGCATTGAATGAATACACTGATTTCAAGGCAACCAATAATTATTATTATATTAGCTTTAAAACCCATGGCGACCATTTATAAACAACAATTTCCACCTTAAATCTCTAAATCCCCGTTTGAGCACATCCCCTGGTTGGACCTAGGGGGGTGATTTGTGAATCTAAATTATTATCCGGGGCGTCACCCAAACGCGTACAAAAAAATGCATTAAAATCGGTCCAACCGTTTAGGAGGAGTTCAGTCACAACTCACAACACACGTACAGTAGAATTATATATATAAAGATATATTTATATTATATAATATAATGACAAAAAATAATAATACAAATCAACAAACATGCCCGATTAACCAATAGTAACCAATATAATATAATATTGCACCACTGTTGTATTTTTTACATCCACATTTCCAACTTTTCCCGTAGACTTTCCTAAAATGTTCTTTCTTAAAAACCTTCTCCTAGCAATCACGAACATCTTAAAAAAAATTTGAGCCAAATCGGTTCTGCTGCTCTCGAGATGCGCTTCGTAACACATTCAACGATTCATTTTTACATTATAGATTACAGTGACCCACTCGAACCCTACTGTACAGCGAAGCGATCCCCATTTTCCCAACTTTTTTCATTTTATAATCTGAATAGAAATTTCTAATTAATTTCTAAAATATTGTATGTGCAATATTTTACAAACATAATATAATCGAATAGATACTCTACGAATATAATTATTTATATAATTTAAGGATTTAAAATGTAGATTAGCCTACTTAACACTAATTCTGTATTTAACACCTTACTGAATACTGGCTATTTGTGATATTTATATTGAACATTGGCCCCTTAATTCCTATCTATAGGTACCTATCGACTACACCTATTCGGCTATACTCTATAGCTGGTAGAAGGTACATATAGGCTATAGCGTTACAATTATAATTTAGCCTGCGTCGACAGTGGGGAAAACTCTCCTTACCGTTATGCGTATACTGTATATCTCCAAGTTTTTATGTAATATAATAATAAATAATATTAATATATTATTAGTCAACGCGTGGACAGCAGGTGATGCGCAACGTGTTTATTCACACCGGTGTGTTGGTTGCTGGTGTAATTAATCACGACACGTAATAATAGCCGTTGTAATAATAATAACAACGATGATAATAACGACAAGAGAGCAGCGAGAGGGCACTTTAAAAGGGCTCATTTCCCTGCACCCATAAAAGGTAAGCCTATGGTTGCGTGTTTGCTAATTCATTAGTATTATATATACACTCGTAAAACGCTCCACGTAGATATACGATCGGCATATTGCACACACAAACACACGACCCATATGTTTTAAAACTATAAGGTCCGTTTCATAAGTAATCGGAACCCTCTCTCGAAACTCAATGATAGTAAAAAACAAAAAATATAATGTTGTAAGCTCGGTGACTGTACCAAATAATAATATATAGTACCTACTACAGTACTACAACGAACCTAACCTACCCTTATTAATATTATATATTAGTATACATTATGGACTGTACTATACTACTATGTCTATACTACTATGTCTATACTACAGATGTAAATAAGTGCTTGCTGATCAGTGGTGTGTTTACTGGGGGTGGGAACTGGGAATAGAGATGACCGAGGTGGCGAGGTGTGTACTCAATATCACCCACCACAAAATATTTTTTTATTTTATTTTTTAAAAATGACTAGGTACCTATTAAGTAATATTTATTATTTAATACATAAACATTTTATAACTGAAACAATCTGCGGCTAGTATAATGACTAGGTATATAATTTTAGAAGAACAAATACATTTGTAGTATTGGTTTTTAATATTTTCAAGAACTAAAGAAGGTACCTACCTAAATTAAGTTTTATACCAACATTTGAGTGGAGACTTACCACTTTGTTTGTTTGATGTATAACAATTCTACCGAAGGCAATTATAGGTTAAATGTAAATATCTTGGAGAGTGAAAATCAGAGGAAGATTTTTTCATGGTCATATTATTCCTTAAAATTAAATTGTAAATTGTCTACTGCCACCGACAATGATCCAATGGCGTAGGTACCTGGAGGGAGGAGGCCACATGTCATATCCCCCGCCCCCACCACCTCGAAAGTTTTTTTAGCGTATAATTCATATTACATTTTGTTTTGTCTTTGGATTTTTAATGGTTTTAAAGTGAGGTATTTAACAGTAGCCCTACTTCCTGAAAATGTTTTACATGTACTGCCGGTACGCCACTGTAATGATCTGACCAGACCCGAAAGGCGTGTGAATTAATCAAGTAGGTAACGCTTTCAATATGAAAACCCCTTAATGGCATAAATGCATAATTTATAATGGACAGTTTTAATAAGCGGATATAAGTAGGTACGTTTCACGTCGTAAATATACACAGACACATTGAGGTGATTTGTGACCGATTATTACCAAATTACCAAAACCCTTGTAACCATGGGTGTAATTATTATAAGGTATATTATATAGAATATATTAAAATTGTATATCAAATTATGGAACGTGGAGACATCCTTTACGTAATAATATGATAAAATGAATTGTGTTTTAATTAAAAGAGAAATTAATTATGTATCACATATATCCACATTCAACGCTTCTATTTATTTATGACTCTTTTCTTACTAATAGGTAGTAGCACATTCTGTCGTATGATCTAATTATCATTTGTCCCTGACCTTTTAAACGTAGGAATACATAATGTAGAAACAATCGGTTATCGTGTATAGGTTTGTGTTAAGGACTACTTACAAAGTCATACGCCGAGTGTCAAAATCTAACAATTGTAACGAATTTATTCGACTGTATCGATAATCAGATACACCTTACCTAATTAAGAATCTAGTGTACTTAGTCGTAGTTTTTTTTTATTCGGTCTTCCGTGCACGACGGTTGTTTCAGCTTATGTAGATAAAGTGAATTCGTTTTAAAAACACAAAAATAATACAAACGTATTTTTCACGATTCGTTTAATTTACTATTCGGGTTCTTAATATGGAGGACAAGGAAGATATTTTTGAAGTCGTCATATCCGGCGTGGGTGGCAAATTCCCCATGTCGGAAAACATGGATGAACTAAGAATAAATTTGAACAATAAAGTGAATATGGTAACCGAAAGTGATTGCAGATGGAATAAAGGTGAGTTCAACTCTATAGCATAGAATTTTAATTATTTACTTATAGTAATTTAAGCGGTACTAAAATAAGAAGGCTGCAAGTGAATAAAATAATTAATTATTGTTGATATGTGTGTAATTAATATAGGTTCATTTTTTATAAAATAATAATAGGATAATAATAAAAAAATAATTTTATTATTTGTTATATTATCATTAAAATGTTTAGATTATTTATTTTACAATGATGTGTTTTTTGTGTCTTTTGTTCACTTATCGTGAATAAGTAGTCTAAATAATGCTTCATATTTTTCAAGTTTAATACAAAGCTCCTCACACATTGTTACAATATCAGTTAAAAAATATTAACAATACATAGAAAAGATTTTTTTTATATGCATTTTAAGTTAAATTTTTCGACAAAATTTATCAAATTGAAATTTTACAAATTATTTTGCAGTTAAAAATGTATAAAATGTTCAATTTTTATGTCTAAGGATTAAACATTTAAAACAAGGTTCCACATAAGTAATTCATAGTACTTCATACTATATACAAAAAATCTAAAAAATATACCAAAACAGTTTTTTTTTTTATTGTTATTTGAAGTTTAAGTTTAGACGAAATTAGATATTTAAACGAAGAAGAACGATTTAAGTACCTATTGTATTGTAATTTAAAAATGTTATTCGTGGATACTTAAAACCTTCTAATAGTACAAATATGACAATATACAAATAATATTAATTCAACTTACCGGCTATCGTATTAAAAATAAAGATATAAAATATCATAGGCTGACAAACCGTCTCCGCTCAGAATCGTTTTCAGTATATAATTATATTATATTATCATTGAATTTCAACTTCAGTATCTTGTTTGATGGGAAAATGAGTTTCAAAAATTTGGGAGTTTAAAATTTCAAATTCCCAATAGTTTTCAAAAGCGCCCTGAAAAACAAAATAAAAATTAAGGAAAAACGAGAATTTTTCGGTTTTTGACAAAATCGATTTTGGCTTTTGGTGTAACTCTAAAACAAATGATCGTAAATACATGACATCTTTACTGAATTTTTATATTAGCCTTTTCTATGAATGAAAAATTTTCAAAATATTTTGACTTGTTGTGAGCTGTTTACGGATATACTCAGTTTCAAACTTTTTTAGGTATTTTTTCTATGAATGTCAATAAAACTTTTTTTGTTAGGTAAAAAAGCTTTAAAATGTAATACAGAGCTAATACTATGTTGTTACAATGAAAAATATTAAAAATCGTTAGTTACGGTTTTTTTTATAAACATTTAAAGTTCAAATATTGATAAAATACCGAAAAAACAAGAAAATTTAGCAAATTATTTTGAGTTAGAAATTCATAAAAAATTTTCTTTTTAAATCTAAGATTTGAAAATGTAATACATGATTTCTCATAAGTTTGTCTACCTTTATCAAAAAAAAAAAATGTTTACAAGAAACTTAAATTAAATTTTTATGAGCGTTTGAAATTCATATTTTTACAACATTCACTCGATTTCTCAAGTAACGATTATATTATTTTATTGTAATTCAAAAACGAATAATTGTAAATACTTGAAAATTTCACTGAATGTTTATGTTAGTATTTTCTATACAAAATACAATTTGAATATGACTTTGAGCTGTTTACTGACATTGTCAGTTTTCAATTTTTATAGTTTTTTTTTCTATAAATTGAAACAGTGGCCTTCTGGCTTGTTTCGTTGATTTATGGATAAGTCAACACTTGCGGTTTATGATATCACTTGTTCATTTATTTCGATATCAATATTAATTATTTACAGTATAGATGTAATTGCGGGGTGGTTACGCTAGTCCGGCAGCCAGGCGTAAAGCGGGCTTGCCGGATACGGCGTAGGATACGACGCACTATAAGTTACGTCCTACTATACATCAGGGTTTTATGTACAAAGGGGTACAATTTGTGGTACGGGGTCGACCACGGATAGTGTCCTGCTATGAAGCGACTGCTATCGTGAATCTGACCCGGGAAGGCAGGATCTCAAAAGCGGCCGGGGAGACAGTGGGTTTTAGATGCTGCTAAGTGCTAGTGATACGTCTAGTGGCAGCACCGCTGGTCCTGGATTGGCTGGACCCTCTGTCCAACGCTCTCGCGTTCTCCTCTTTGGAATGAACCGGGGATCGCTGGATGCGTCTTCGGGCCTAGGGCAATACTTCACGTATTGTTCCCTGGGCGAAGGTGGCAGCTCCTGATGATCTCTCGAGTGGCGCGGTACACGGCTGTCCGTAGAGGACGGCTCGCTGTCCGGTCGGACCGTGTACGTCGCCTTGATCGGTGAATGTGCTTCGATCCGTCGACTCCAAGGTAATTATAATACATGGTAGTGCCACTTCACTATCGAATACGATGATAACTATCGAATAAATGGTGGCCGAGAGTGGAACCAATCAGATTAGCTTATAGTCTAAGGCCGTGTAAAATTACGTATATGATAAAGAATATAATTTAAATTTGCCCCAAAAAATTACTTGTATTTCATTGGTTCCGCCTTATGCTGGTTAAAAGCATTTGATAGTGATGGCGATAAATAATAACAATCGTGATTTCGATAGTGATGTGGCTCTACCATGTATTATAATTACCTTGGTCGACTCGCACTCACTGAGTGCGGCGATGCCGGTACGGGTTACGTTCGCAGGTGTGTGCGAGGAAATGTCTTCTGGGCGCGGGTCGTCGGTATCGACGCCCTCCTTGCGAGCTGGTCACTGCGTCGACTCGTACAGGAAAGTGTGGCGATGTCACATATGGGTTGCTCATGGTCTCGTACGAGTAATCAGGTTCGTCATGGGTCTGCTTCGGTAGTCTCGGCTGCTCTATGCCGTCGCAATCTCGTACAAACGAAAGTGTGGAGATGCCCGGACGGTTGCTCAAGGGTTTATACGATGATTCTTCGTCGGTGTCTTTTCCGCCGGTGTTCTCTTTATGCTGCGTCTTGTAGATGTTCCCTTCGTTGGTCCTTCTGTTCTTCTATTCTTCGTACTGTGTTGAGTGTTTAGTCCTAAAAAGGACTAAATTGATGGATGGTGTACCGTTACAAAATATCAATAAAATTTTATTTGTTGTGTAAAAAAGAGTGAAAATGTAATGCAAGGCTCCTCATATATTGTTACAATAGCAGTTGAAAAATATTAAAAATACATAGTCACAATTTTTTTTTATAACAATTTAAAGTTCAAATTTTGACAAAATTTATTGCATTTAAAATTTAATAATAATTTTGTAATTAAAAATTTATAAAATGTTCAACTTTTATAGCTAAGGATTGAAAATTTAAAACAAGGGTCCACGTAAATAGTTTATATATAAATTACTTTATTCAACTTAATATCATCAAATATAGGTACTTAGTAATATCATAGGCTGACTGACCGTTTTCGCTCAGAATCATTTTTCTTATACAATGATATTATATCATTGAATTAAAATTTAACACCATCCATTACAGTGACATTACATTTGGGTAGTAACGTAACGAAAGTAACGAGTTACTGTAACGGCGTTACTTTGCTTCTAACGCCTTAAAACGCGTAATTTCATTAGAATTATTTCCAAGTAACGAAAATGTAATGAAATTACTTTTGAAAAGTAATTTCTATAGAATAACGCGTTAAAGTTTCAAATTATTAAGTACCTACCTTACCTGCCTATTGCGAATTGAAAAAAAAATATGTATAATGGGTGGGGGGGGTATTATTATGTCTACCAATCTAATATGTATATATATTTAATTTTAACTCAGCACAATTCAGTTTTCAATGGTTTTGACATTTCAAATGTCTAATTGCACCGTAAATCATGGGAACAGTTAGTTAAATTTATTATTTAAGGTTAGGTTAGGTTAGGTTTCTTATGAATATAGCTTCTGTGGAAGACTACATTTTATATGACCCTATAAGTAACTACCTATACAGGTTTTATAAAGAATTTCCTTGTTCAATTTTCCTGCAGAAGATAATTGCCAAGAAATTAAATTTTTTTTTATTTTTGTAACTAGAAAGTAATGAGTTACTTTTCTATTTGAAAAGTGAAGTACCTAATTTCATTATCAATTTTATTTGAGTAACGAGTGAGTAACTTATTACATTGATCTCTTAGTAACGAGTAAGTAACTTCATAACGTTTTAAAAGTAATTTACCCAACACTGCACTGTCAAGCGCTCCACTTACCCACCTTTTTTTATTGTTAGTAACTATGCCTTCAGTATCTAGTAGTGTATTATTATATAGTTTAATAAACAGTAGTTAATTGCAAGCATCAACCAAGCCGCACTTGTTGTTGATGAATATAAATCGGAAACAATTTAACAACGTTAGTTTAATAACGTATATTCAGGTTAAATTGGTTAATACTGCCTCATATCAAAAAAATAACACAAAAGGCTGAGCCAACATTTTTTTAGACTTAACTGGGTTTATTAATATACAGTAGTTACATTTTTCTAAGAAACTACAAGAACTAAGACAAAAGGAAATTAATTAGGTACCTATTTATTTACCACTTGCCAAGTCGACGGATATAAGTTAACTAAAATGTTTAAAATAGGTAATATATAGTCCATATGGACGTTCAGCCGTAGAGAAATAAAATAAAATATAAATTAATATGATTTTGCGATTTCCGGAAAATTGGTAATAGCTATATACACGATATTCGTTACTAAATTATAACAATACTACTTGAGAAGTTGGTATTGGAAATTAATAATATAGGTACTAATTATAGGTATTATTACTTATTAGTTATTAGTATTTGATATTTTACAATATAGTTACTAATTACTAATAACGTAATAATATATATATATATATAAGGCATAAAAAATAATTTAATTTAAATTTAGATTTGGTTTAATGATTTTATTAGATTTTATTTGCAAGAACTCAATTCGCTCTAGTTTTTAAGCTAAACGTGATAAACGTGTTCTGCTGAACGTAAAACTTGCCACGTTACCTACGCACTCTCAAGACAAAAATGTCACTGTAACGTCAACTTAATGGGATTCTATAATATTAACTGTTATATATTTGTAGATTATGTGACTGTATTTTTGTCTGTAAAACAAAGAATAATTTAAACGTATATAATCATAAAGTATAATTAATTGGTATACACATTAAAAAATATTTTAATATGCTTTAATTAATTAACTAATTATTTTTATTTAAAAAAAAGATTTACAATCTTTAACATAATATGTACAATAAGCAAATAGGATAATTACTTAAAATATTTACAAGATGATTTAGTATAAGGAGGGAGGCTGTCCAGTAACAGAACTCTCATGCAGTCATTGGGTTCAGGGGCTTAGTGAATCCCTGCAATAACGTCTTTTTAATCGACGGGTGGGATCAGAATTTATTTCATAACAGTTAATTGTATAGTAAAATATTATCAACAGAAATTTGGGTTCAAATTGGTAGGTACAAATTAATTGATGATATTTATTAAAATTTAAAATTTAATTATTTCAGATGAATGGCCAGGAGTTCCAGCTGCCACGGGAAAAGTAAGCGTACATCAAAAACTGGATGATACATTTATGGGAATGAATTCACGAATCGTAAAAGCATTGGATCCTTTGACAAGATGTTTATTGGAAAGAGTTTACGAAGCAATAATTGATGCAGGTATTTAAAGTTCAAAATTAATATTAAATTAATTTTCATAAGGTATTAATCCTTTTTTGTTTATCTAATCCCCTGATGAGGACTGAATCCGAAACATCTCTACGGATCAAAAACTTCTGTTTACACGGCTTCATGTGTCAGTGATAGTGAAGCGATTGGATGTGATGAGAAATTAACTACACCATTTTGGCTTCTTGCACATGTCAGAGCTCTTTTGGCAAATAGAGTTTCTAACATATTTAATTTACAAGGACCAAGTTATACAATTGATTCATCTTGGATTGGTGGTATAGAAATTTTAAAACAAGCTGCTGCGGATGTAGCAAAAGGTAGGATTAAATCAGCATTGGTTGGCGTTACCAATATTATTTGGCATCCAGATATGGCAAAACATTGGATAGGATTAGATAAGCTTAGCGCCGATGGAATTTGCAGGTCATTCGACGAAAACGGTATGCGATTATGATTCTGAATTTTTATTTTTGTTGAAAAAATGTATAAAAAAAAAAATGAATAAATGTAAAAATCTTATTTACAGCAAGTGGATACGGTCGAAGCGAAGGTGTTGTTGTACTTCTACTCCAAAGGTCTACTGATGCATTACGTTCTTATGGTACTATTTTACACTGTGATGCTAGACTTTGCATGGAAAAAGCGATCAACCTTATACGACCATCTGAAGATTCATTCCGTGAATTTTTCAAAACATTCTATGAAGATTGTAAAGTTTTACCTGAAAATGTTTCATATTTAGAATCCGATGGATCTGCTTGCAAAGTAATGCACTATTCATATTTTAAATATAATTAGTATTTTAATTATGTTAAAATAAAATTATTTTTAGTATTATGAAGAAAAGGAGCTGAATGTATCATCGGAAATTTTCTGTGAAGATAAAAGGATCTCTCCTTTATTAATTGGATCAATAAAAAGTAACTTAGGACATACCGAAGGTGCATCGAGTTTGATAGCAATTGTGAAAGCATTAATTGCGTTAGATTCTGGTATTATTCCACCTAATATCAACTATGTATCACCAAATATTAAAATTGAAGCATTGAAAAAAGGAAAAATGAAGGTAAAAATTGTCTAATATAGTATATTATGTAAACGTCTAAACAATTTTTAATAGGTGGTCACGGAACCTACAAAATTAGAGGGGACTATTGTCGGAACAACAACTTTGGGAATGCCATCATCCATTGGTCATGTTTTACTTAAACAGAATCCCAAAATAAAGTTGTATCCTCAACTAGGACCTAGTCAAAGATTAGTTATATTGTCATCAAGAACAGAAAAAGGCATTTCTGAAGCAATAGACAGAGTCAAATCTCTGCCTAGAGATGACGAATATTTAGGACTTATTCAAAATGCATTCAGTGAAAATATAACTGGCCATTTCCACAGAGGTTATGTAATACTCAACGAAGAAGCTTCACCAACATTAGGCGTTCAAGCAAGTGCATTACATACTATTCGGAAAGATTATATTTTAATGTTATACATTGTATTTATATTGTACCTTTTGTTTTTTTTTAGGAGATAGGCGAATTCAATCGTCCAGTATGGTTTGTTTTTGCTGGTATGGGATCACAGTGGCCTGGAATGGCGTCAGATCTAATGGAAATACCATGTTTTGCTGATAGTGTTAAACGATGTGATAAATACATTCGTCCTCTTGGTTATGATATATTAGACATATTAACAAATCCAGATCCTGAAGTTCTGAAACAAAAACCAATTATTTCATTCTTAGCAATAACTACTATGCACGTGAGTGAAATTAACTAATATACTGTAGAAGGGTGTCATTTGCAGGATACAACAATGTGAATATGTATTCCATGTAGTTGATTTTTTTTTTTTTTTAGAATTTTTTATTTATTTTAAATTCTGAACGGAGCGATGAAGGTATTGATTTAATAAGAATGTGTGTTTTAAAAAAAAATGTTTTTGTTTCTTTCATCACCTTTTAGGGCAGTACAGCTGCTTTGATTTTCTTCAATAGTATCTTGTTTCGAAGGGTAAGTGAATCTAGTTGGTGCATTCGGGAGGTCTAAATAGTTTTCAAAGGCGCCTGGAAAAACAACATAAAAATTAAGGGCCAACGCGAATTTCCACTGGTTGTTTATATTCGTATTTTCTATACACGATCAAATTTTCAATATATTTTGATTTGTTTTGAACTGTTTAGGGATATTTTCAGTTCCCAATTTCATTATTTTTTTTTCTATGAATGTTAATAAAAGTTTAATTGTTGGGTAAAACAGCTTGAAAATTTAATACAAAGCTCCTACTATATTGTTACAATGAAATAATATTAAAAATCCTTAGTCAAAGTTTTTATTATTAGCATTTAAAGTTTAAATTTTAACAAAATACTGATAAGTAGAAAAAATTATTAAATATTTTGAATTCATAAGAATGTTTCTTTTTGAACCTAAGATTTGATAATATTAATACAAGATTCCTCATAAGTTTGTCTACTTTTATCGAAAAAAACTGTCAACAAGCAAATCAAATAAGTTTTGATGTGCGTTTCAAGTTCATATTTTTACGAGATTGGATATTCACTTGAATTCTCATGTTGTGATTTTGTTATTTGTTATTTTCAAATACGAATAACTGTATTTACACGGAAATTTCAGAGAATATTTATATTGTCAGTCTTCAATTTGTTTAGTTTTTTTTTCTAACACTGTCAATTAAATTATATATGTAGGGTAAAGCGTGAAAATTGAATTCAAGGTTCCTGATATACATGGTGATTTCTTTATCACTGAACACTCATTATTTCAAGAAGTGTAAATGTTTTTGAAAATATTATTTTACATAGTTTCATAATTTACAAAACAACGTTTTTATTAATAAATTCTTTTTTAAATATTTTTTATCCTTGTAGTATTTTATGTTTTTACTTTTTTGAATGATATCATAGAGTTCTAATTTCATATTCCAAAGCAAAATATTTGTCTCAGCATTTCGAAACCAAAAATCAAATTTAAGGTAAGTAGCTTATGAGTTATAAGTATTTACAGTTTTGATGGGTGGAGTTGTGTGGTACGGTATTACCCCTAGAAACGTTTGTCTACTACTCCGCTCATCAAAACTTTAAATACGTATAACTCATAAGCTACTCAACTTAAATTTGATTTTTGGTTTCAAAATGCTTAGACAAATATTTTGATTTGGAATTATGAAATTAAAACTTTATGTCATTATTCAAAAAAGTAAAAACTTAAAATATTATAAGGATAAAAAATATTTAAAAATATGTTTTTTTATTAAGAACGTTGTTTTTTCAAAAACATTAATACTTATTGAAATAATGAGTGTTTTATGATAAATGAATCACCTTGTATAACATCAAATGATTTTTTTTTTTTTTGGACGATAATCTGGAAAATTTAATACGAGGTATAAGTAGTTATTATAACAGTTGTTGAAATATATGAAAGATACACAGAAACGATTTTGTTTTTTTTATAATTATTCAATGAAAACATACAAATAATTTAGTAGTTAAAAATTTATAAAATATTAAATTTTTATAGCCAAAGATTGAAAATTTAAAACAATATAGTAATATCATAATATAGTACTATAACCATAAAATCTAAAAAATATATAGGTTTACAGGTTTTTTTTATAGATATTTTAAATTTAAAATTGGTTGAAATAATTTATTTAAACAAAGGGTAACTATTTTAGTTGTTGTGTTGTAATTTAAAAATATTATTCGTGGGTACATACAACTTTTAAAGTTTATTATTATATTTAATACACTGTGATATATTAAATGTAATTTTGTTTTCAACGACTAATTCAACCTACACTAATGTTTGATAGTAAAATAAATTACTTTAATGGAAATAATATCATAAAAGATACTTACTAATATTAGTTAGGTTACTAAAACTAACAGTTTTCTCTCAGAATTGTTTTTCATATAAAACGATTTTGTACACATTGTAGAAACTGCATATTATTCAATTACGAGGTTCACTCAGCACCAATTGTATAGTAGTGCGGTTACCTAATTTCCCCCTTTTTAAATCTGAAAGTAACTGTTTGGCGAGCGTATCTTTTTATGATTAGCTTATTGGTTAATACAATGAAACATTTTGAAATAAGACCTCGATACTGTTAGGATGTAATATTATAATAAAAAATATATTTATATACCACTATTTTAATATATATTTATAATAATTGTAAATTAATATTATTGTTTGTGATTTATTGGTGTTGTTTTTAGATCGCATTTGTAGATCTATTAGCGATGCTTGGTATTCATCCCGATTTTATGTTTGGTCATTCTTTGGGTGAAAATGGATGCGCTTATGCTGATGGATGTTTCAATACGTATGAAGCTTTAATGGCAGCATATGGTAGAGGCAAAGTATCCGAATTCTTAAAGCCTGAAAAAGGCCTCATGGCAGCGGTAGGTAAGTGTGATTTCTTAAAATAATATATGGTAAGAAAATATTTCAATAATATAATTCTTTTAGGTTTAAATTATCAAAATATACCTGATTTGCCATCTAGTATTGATATAGGATGCCATAATTCTGAAGATAATGTTACTTTATCTGGTCCTTCTGACGACATGGAAATTTACTTAGAGACTCTGAAAAAACGAAACGTTTTTGTTAGAACTGTAAATTCAAATGGGATTGCGTATCATTCAAGATTGGTCAGAAGACAAGCTGATTTTGTTCAGAAATTTATTGAAAAAGTAAATTTATATTTAGTGGAATAACATTGAATATATTTAGTTAGATATAATACATTTAATTATTATCAGGCTGTACCAAATCCGAAGAAACGATCTTCAAGATGGATATCAACTTCTATACCGGAAGAAAATTGGAATAGTGAATTAGCACAATGGAGCTCTGGAAAATATCATGCAAATAATTTTAAGAAAACTGTTTATTTTTCCGAAGCATGTCAAAAAATACCTAAAAATGTTATAGTCATAGAAATAGCTCCTCACGGCCTATTTCAAGGAATATTAAAATCGGCCTTAGATAGTTCATGTAAAATTGTCTCTGTAGCAAAACGAGGAAGTAAAAGTCCACTAAAACATTTTCTAACAACACTTGGTGAACTATATTCTAGTGGTCTTCACTTTAATTTGGATAAGATCTACCCCCCACCAGAGTATCCAGTTTCGAGAGGAACTCCGAGTTTAGCCCCTCTTGTATCTTGGAACCACGAAGAAACTTGGCCAATTAACACACATTATGGCGATGTAAGTGTTAATTTTACACAAAAAGCCGTACTTTTGTTTTGTTTATATCAATTTTGATTTTCAGTCAAATTCAGACTATGTACAACTTTGCCTACGTGATAAAACTTCAAGACATCTATTAGGACATAAAGTCAATGATGCAGTTGTGGTGCCTCTATCATTGTTCATTGTATGTTTTAATAATATGTAGCTTATTAATCATTTAGTAAATTAATTTTATTGTTCTAGACAGAAGTGTTGAAATCACTTGAAAATAAGCAATCAGCTATCTTAAATAAATCACACCAAACAATATTTGAAAACGTTTTTGTTCATAAACCTCTAATTTCGACCGCTGAAGGTACATATGACCTTTATATTATATTAATTAATAATAGTTATTACCATGGTTATCTATTTTAAATATCAAAACGACCAACTTTTGATTTTTGTGAATTGAGTTCTATACTCGGATATCTATATATATACCTATATTATAAATAAGTGTACATTTTGAATACATTTTATAACTCAAGATCCACCAAACCGATTTCGATAAAAATTTTATTGAATACCTAATAAGATTGATATGTAGATGGTTTATACGCTGTTTAATAAGTGGTTCCGGAGTTATGACCTCTTAAGTGCACACCTGGTGACATAGCCAAAAACCACAATATAATATTATTATTTTTTATTCGTTTCTAAGTTTATAAAAGTACTATAAATTAAAAAAAAATTTATTTAAATGTATCCTCAGGTGATTTATACTATTTAGTTAATATTCAAAAAGCATTACTCTTATTTCCTTATTAGCTCAGGTATGTACGTATGTATGCATTTTATCTGGGCCAGTGAACTATATATAAACTAATGTTATTGAAAAAAAAGCAATGTTTCCTACGAATTCTCACCCTGCGTCGTTTATTCTGATTATTATCGTAATTCTGGGAATATCTTTTTTTTTTTCGAGAAAGGCTATAAAGGACTATACATACTTGTAGGTATTCAACTGCTTTTAACACATCGTTACATATCAAATTTACATGTCATATGAAATGTCTAAATACTTTACCTATACTGATTCTTAATCTTTAAGACATGCTGTAATCAAAATATATGAATGACTACTGATCTGAAAATTCTATATTTTGTGTAACATTAAATATTATTTTAGAGTCCAATGGTTTTTATACACAAATTCAACCAGGTACTGGTTCTTTTGAAGTGATTGAATCTCGACATGTATTATTATCTGGATTGGTGTACATCGATGATAGTAACCATCTTATTAGCCCAGAACCACCAACAGATTATGAAGTTAATATTGAAAATGAATGGATATCAGATAATGAAATATATAAAGTATTTTCTGAAAATAATATTAATTTCTCAACTCCTTATTGTACCATTCAAAAAATCCTTATTCGAGATAAAGGTATTGTATTCTGTAAAATATACAATAGGAACTTTAAAAATACTACAATACTTGCATTACAACATTATTTATAAGTTTTTAGGTTTCTTGGCAAATATATTTTGGAAAAACGATCTTAACATCAATCTCAACTCGATGATGCAGTTAAAAATGTTTGCTGATCTTCAATCACGTCATGACTTACCTTTGCTTCCATCTTGGTTTAGAAGTTTAGTTATCGATAGTGAAATAATCAAAAATATTAATTATGGATCGATGGTTTACATTACATTTGATACTCGAACTAATGTCATTAGAGGGCCCGGGATAGAAATTGAAACTTTAAAGACATCCATTTTTCCAACAATTGATCCAATGCCTATAAATTTGAATATTCAAAAAGTACAATTTATTGAACAACCTTATCCTAAAATTCAAGTAATTTTAATAAACTAATATTTTAAATTTAAATAGTAAAAATAATTTGTTTATCATTGTTATTGTTTATTTAGAATTTTGTGCAGTTTTTAAGCATTTGTATGCAACTGGTCAAAAATACGGTACACTCGCCATCAAAGTTAAAAACAAAATTAAAAATTAATGATGCTTTATTTGTAGAATCATTTAAAAGGGTTTTTGAAATACAGCCATTTTTAAAGGTTGTAACTTATTTTTATTTATTTATTCATCAAAGATACTTATTTATTGCATTGTTTGTATATTAGGCAGATGTTGAAGAATACCATTCAAATTTTCAAATAACAGATTTAGCATCCAATCATGTATTACTTTTGGTAACTGAACATTTAAACGAAAAATTAAATAAAGATATAAAAAATTGCGCAGGAAAAGTATTTGTTTTGATAAAGAATTCAATTGTTGATGATACATATACCACAGTGGTTCAATATGAGCATAATGGTTCTATTTATCGTCTAATAACAAGACTAGTGAAATTACCGAACAAAATTTTGGAGGTTAGCACTAAAAACAGTTCATGGACAGATAACATAGAACAAGGACTTAAATTATTATCTAGTAACGTTTCGCCAATAGTTTTGATTAAAAATGATTCAGAAAATTCATTGCAAGTGGTGCAAAAAATTGAAAATATCAAATCTATGATTGATTTTAGGTAAACAAAATTATTATATTATATATTATCAAATATTGTAAAATAGAAAACTGATTTAAAATTAACCATTGCTTTCATTTTAGATATGTCATACTTTACGACGGTGTAAAATTGTTTGATTTGACCAAGACCTTCTTCAGGGAACAACTATTTAAAGGGTTAAGGCAAAACATATTAAAAAATAACAGCTGGGGAAGTTATACCATACTTCCTTGTATGGATAATCTTTCTACAGAGTTAAATACTAATGAGTTGCAAAAATATGTTAATCCCGAAAGGTTTGTATAAAAAACAAAACACTGTAAATGTTCTTCATTTTCTTTTTAACATTTATTTATTTTTAGTGAATTCTCCATCAAGTATATAGGATCTTTTAAAACAAATTTAATGGTAACAAATACTCATTAATATTTCAATAAATGTATTGCTGTATATTATATTATATTTAATGATGGTATTGTTAATTAAGGAAGATGAAGTATGTACTCAATACTCGGGTATAGACAATGAAGGAAAAAGTATAATGGGTATTTTAAAATATAAATGTAAAAATAAGCGATACGAAATCGATAATATTCTAAAGTGGTATGTAGATTCTGAAATGACCTTGGAAGAGTCAGTAATGTGTCCATTAGCTTACTCAATGGTAATTATTATTTCAATTTAGTTTTCATGAAGTTTGAATTATATTTCAAAATTGTTACAGGCTTACTATTGTATTGTAAGCAAAGCACGTGTTAAATTTGGAGATTCAATTCTTATACATAATGGGTGTTCACAAGATGGACAAGCATTTATAAGAGTTGCCCTTGGTTTTAATTGTAAGATCTACGTAACTACATATAATAATGAGCAATCTGACTTTATAAAAAGTGTATTTCCAAAGGTAATGAATAATATAATCTTCAAAAATAGTTTTAGAGACTTAACATTAAAACTTACATAAATGAAAAACATTGAATTCTTGCAAAAATTAATAGTTGAGTAGCGGCAACATACTAGATCTCAATAACAGCAAGTTTGAAATACAGCTAATGAGTTTAACAAAGGGAAAAGGATGTGACATCGTTATCAATGCTATACCAACTGAATTCCTGTTGGCTTCTCTTCGATGTGTTAAACCGTTTGGCTCATTTATACACATAGGTTCACAAGATGTGAACGTGCATACAGAAATTGGTAAGAATGATGGTTAAAATAGAAGTACACCTAGGTACCTACCTATATTTGAATTTATTTATTTTCCACAGGCATGAATATGTTTTTAAAAAATATTTCATTATACGGTGTACAAGACTTATTAAACATAGTTAATTCTCCTATCGAAACCAAAAACCATCTGAGGCAGCTTGTTGAAAATGGTATCAAGGATAAAATAGTTAGGAAATTATATGAAGAAATATCAAAAACAAATAAAACATCTACTAACAAGTACGATATAAAATTTGATTGTGATTGAAATTGTTTTTTGTATTTTATGAATTTATTGTAATATTTTTTTATTTAGTGTCCATAATTCAATGAAACTAATTGAAACAAATAACTCAGATCATAGTTTTGTTAAAAAAGAAATGGCATACATAATTATTGGTTCTGCGACGAATTTATGGATTAAAACAGTTAACTGGCTTCTTCAACAAGAGGCAAAAAAATTGATATTTATCATTGATGGTACCAACTCAGTAATGAGAAGGAGTCAAAGAACTATATATTCACTAATTCAAAAGTACTCCGATGTTTCGTTTATCATGACTTCGGCTGAAAGGTTTAATACTACAAAAGAGGGGGAAACATTGCTACGGGAATTCGTATCATATTCAAAAATTGAAGCTTTGTTTTGTGTAGAAACGGTATGTTAAGTTACATAGTATAACATTATAATATAAATGTATGCAAAAATATTTTTTAATTGAATATTCTTGTTTAGAGTGACACAAAATTGAAGAACATTGATAAAGCTTGTAGAAATGTTTTACCAGACTTAAAACATTTCATATGCATGCAGAGTGATGCGATGGAAGTCTGTGAATCAAGAAGCAACGCAAATTATAATTGTATTAACGTGCAGTGTGATAAATCCGTTCGAAAACCAGAAATCATATTAAAGTACATGAATAAATTGGTGGACACTGTAAATGATTCTAAGCCCATTTCTGTCATTTTTGATAATCCGTTAATATCTGAACATGGTTAGCTTACGATCTAAAATACTAAATTTTTATGTTTAATCATAAATAAATTTTGATAATATTTTTGATAATATATATATATATATATATATATATATATACCTATATACATTGTTTTATTTTCTTAGACAACTTTGATTCAACCTCAGAATATTTACCAAAAACCATCAAAGAATTACTTGACCTTAATATAGATTTGCCAGAATATCCACGATTTGAACAATGTACATCCAAAAGTATTCCAAATACTGGTAATAATAGTCTATTACCAGTGTTCATTATTCCTGGATTAGGAGTTTCGCGGATACAACCTTTAATCAATCAAATTATGCATCCAGTATTTTGTGCTAAATTTCCGTCGTACATTAACTCGATCGAAAATGCAGCGCTAGGTTTACTATGGGTAACTATCATATAATTAATCTCAATATGTTCATAGTGTAACAGTATTTATTTGTAGCCTTTGAAACAAATTCAATCGGAAGGACCATTCACGATTGTCGGCGAAACATGGGGTGGAAATATTGCGGTGGAGCTTGCAAAGATAATGGAAGGATTTGGTGAAACCGTCAATCTTTTATTACTGGATGGCTGTCCATCTGATAATAAAAAGCGTTTAAAACTTGTAGATAACTTCGATTTTGAACAATTGAGTGGAAATTTGGAAGCAAAGGTAAACTATGTTACCAGAGTTAAAATCACTAATAACAAACTTCAAGGGACCTTGTAAAATAATTTGTTTCTTCAAATATATCCACAACCCTCAAAATAAAATTAAAAATAATTTATACAATTTATTAATTTACTTAAAAAAATGTTCGCTATCATCTAAAACTTATTGTGATATAAATATCATGAAAGAACAATTAAATCATATTTTTAAAAAAAAATTGTCTTTACCGATGACATAAAAATGCTATAAAAAAATTGTAATATGTTCAATTATAATATATATTAATCAATATTAACTACACAACAATTGTATATATTAAATATGTGTTCAATATGGTTTTTCTAAGGAACCAAGTTATGAATTTATTTAATTTATATTACATTTTTCTAGGAAAAAATTAATAGTTCGATAGACGTGCTTATGAACCAATTAAGTGCAGTAAGAGATTTCATTCCTAATAATACTCAACTTGCAGCGAATACGATCATCGCTAGACCATCTACTTCGGATATTTTGGACTCCTGTATTAACTTTGAAAAAGTATGTTTACAAATATTTATATAATATAGATAATACATTTGGTTTGTTTAATTTTACCATCTTTTTATATTGCATTTATAAATTATTTTCTTTTTACAGAACCATTGTGGCAAACTAACAGTACACATTTCTAAGAAGTCATCGTACATTGAATTTATAAATAGTTTAGAAGCTGCTGCTATTATAAATGAAAATGCATCGTTTAAGTGGTAGTTCAATAAAATATTTTGTGGCATATTGTGTTATAAAATTAATGTAGAAAATCATTTATTACTATACAAATCTTAAAATGTTTTAAAATTGGAAAAAATTAACTTAATTAAAATCCTAATATTATGTAGTTTTTATTGTTATATATATGTATATAATTATATGATTTATCCAATGACAAATGATGGCACATCTCTGAATTGGAACTCGTGTGGTCTCCACGGCTCTTGTAAAGCATTCGTGAGCCACCCGTCCAAGGGTGTAAGATGTTTCCTTACCCAATCAACTTGAATCTTAACTTTCTTCAGTGCATTTTTTATGATATCATCCACAGAAACAAAATTACGTTTGTTTCTTTGATAAAACTCGGTGGCCTATAAATCAAACACATAATTTAAGGTATTATACTTTATTTACAAATTTATACTTTGATAATCACTACAAACCTTATCTAGTCCTTCTTCTGTCCTAAAATTGTTAAATGACGTTTTAACAAAATATTCTCTTACAGTCTTTTCCAACCTAAAAACCACAACATTATTATGATAATATTGGTTTTCGAAGAATACCATTATTTTCATAAAGGTATCATAATTATTATATTAATTACTTAGTGCTTAGATATTCGAAGTTTTTCATCATGAATTTGAACATTGTTTCGTTTCCCAGTGATACCGTACTCATAACAGTCAACAATGTTATCATATCTTCCTAGCTAAACTTATGATTTCCACTAATCAAGATTTTTGGTTACATTTTTTGTTTGTCAGTTTTTTTTTTTTTGTTACTTTAGTTTTTTTCCTTAATTTTAGGTTTGTGCAGGTGCTAATTATTAATAGGTATATCAGTATATTTAGACTAAATACTATATTACTTCCAACATTTTTTTAAAGTATAATGGGTACACAGGGGTTTTAATTTTGTTGTTTAATACTTTTCTCATACATCCATATTTTAGATTCTGAGCGGAGCGATGAATGTATTGGTTTTACAATGATGTGTGTTTTTATATTTTTATATTTTTATATTTTTATATTTTTATATTTTTATATTTTTGTGTCTGTCATCACGTTTTGGGACAGTAAAAGTGCTTCGATTTTCTTCAATAGTACCTTTTCTGATAGGAAAGTGAATCTAGTTGGTACTTTGGGGGGTCAAAAAAGTAAACATTTTCCAGTAGTTTTCACAAGCGCCGGGAAAAAACAACATAAAAATTAAGGAAAAACGGGAATTTTTACGCAAAATCGATTTTCCAAAAAATCGAATTTGGTTTTTGGTGTTACTTTAAAACAAATGACCGTAGATACATGAAATTTTCACTGGTTGTTTATATTTGCATTTTCTATACATGATAACATTTTCAAAATATTTTGATTTATTTTGAACTGTTTAGGGACATTTTCATTTTTCATTTTTTTTAGTTTTTTTTCTAGAAATATCAATAAAATTTTATTTGTTGGTTGCGAAAGCTTGAAAATTTAATAGATGGCTCCTAATATGTTGTTTTAAAGGCAGATGAAAAATATTAAAAATCCTTAGTCACAATTTTTTTTTATAAGTATTTAAAGTTCAAAAATTTACAAAATATGGGAAAATCACGAAAATTAGCAAATTATTTTGAGTTAAGAATTCGTAAAAATTTTTCTTTTTAAATCTAAGATTTGAAAATGAAACACAAGATTCCTTATAAGATTATCTACCCTTATCAATAAAAAAATCTCTACCGGACAGTCAAGTTAAATTTTTATGAGCGTTTGAAATTCAAATTTTTACTACATTGGATATTCACTCGATTACTCATGTAGCGATTTCCTTATTTTGTTGCAATTCAAAAACGAACAACTGTAGATACATGAAAATTTCACTCAATGTTTAAATTAGCATTTTCTATACACCATACAATTTTGAAAATATTTTGACTCTTTTTGAGATGTTTATGGACATTTACAGCTTTCAATTTTTTTAGTTTTTTTTTCTATAAATATCAATAAAGTTTTATCTGTTGGGCCAAAAAGTGTAAAAATTTAATACAAGGCTCCTGATATATTGTTACAATAGCAGTTGAAAAATATTAAAAATACATAGGCACAGTTTTTTTTTATAAGCATTTAAAGATCAAATTTTGACAAAATTTATCAAAATCTCGAAAATTATCAATCATTGTAATTAATAAATTATAAAATGTTCAGTTTTTATAGCTAAGGATTGCAAATTCAACACAAAGGTTCTCGTAAATAGTTCATACTGTAACCAAAAAATCTAAAAAATATATGAACACACTTATTTTTTACAGACATTTTAAATTCAAATTTGGACGAAATTACATATTAAAAAACCTAGAATAACTATTTTAGTTATTTTGTTGTGATTGAATAATATTATTCGTGGGTACTTGAAACTTCTAAAGTGTACTATTATATATCTATGATAGTATCACGGTTTTTGTTGATGTATAACGTGTTATAAGTATCTAATGGATATTGTGATATGATTAATTTGGAATTTATTATAGGTACCTATTATAGGTCAATTTTTTGTTTAATACCATAGATATGTATATAATATGTCTTATACATAGACTGACATACCGTCACCGCTCAGAGTCGTTTTTCTTATACAATGATATTATATCATTGAATTCAAATTTAATACCATCCATTATACAGTGACCCACTTGTAACCTACTGTACAGCAGAGCGACACCCACTTACCCACCTTTTTTTGTTTGATTGTAAAATTCTTTAGTTTTAAAAATGTTTCTTACTATATTCCTTTTTATTTGTATAATTTCCGGTTTAAATGGAAAAATACTATACATGTAAAATGAGTAGGTACCTTCCATTAAATTAAATTCATATGCTGTTATCATTACAATCTCGGTAAAAATAAATATGATATCCTCTGTTTGATATCATGTGAATGTGTTATATTAAGATCCAAAATTAAATGTGAATGTTAAAATCTGAAATCTATGAAGAGATGACACCCCCCCCCCCGCTCCTCACAAAAAAAAAATTACGTTGTCATTTTTAGTAGAAAAATTACACCGTACAATTTATCCTCGTCGGGATTTGACGTATTGGTTCTCGGTTGGACTTCCCGAGCTTCTGTCAGGCATGTTGGATGCCCTGTATAAATGATGCCTAAGTATATCTGTTTAAAATCGAAATCGCATTACATATTTCAAAGGTATATAAATGGGTAATTTGAAGCTAACTTCATATTTAGGAGCCACCGGCGGCGTTCCCTGGAACTTAATGCGCAATCTCGTGGCCAGGCCGAAATATGCTTTCCAAACAGCAGGTTCTGGCTCTTGCTAGATAAATTTGCTGACTTTGAATAAGTATACATAACACAATCGCCGAGATAGAGCAAGTGTTAATGAATCATGCAACAACTGTTGACGAATTCTCACTTTGAAACTTTCGAATGTTGTGCTCTTAGTTCCCAATTCTTATGGTCATAATTAACAATAAATGGTCCTGAAATATAATGGTAGTGTATATAGGTACCAATTATTATTTAATAATCAACTTATGAGGAATCTTGTATAGTTGTATTACATTTCTAAACTTAATAGCAGTATGCCAGTATATAATAGGTATTAAAATCAACAATTCATACAATATTTATACCTAATAATGGTTGAACATTTAATAGAAGGTTCTCTATACAGGCCGTATTTTTCAATGGTGGGGGCTTGAAAATTAGTTACAATTTTATTTTTGTTTTGTCCAGTATAATAATTTCAGACGTTTATCTGAGGTATTTTAAAATGTTTGTAACTTCTCAACTTTTCTGGTAGAAAAAATGCTCTGATGCTTGATGTATGTTTTTGGAAGCAAATTGGATCTAGTTGGCTTTTCTAGGAGGTCGAAATTACAATCTTATTACCAGATATCGGTTTTTAAAAACAATGTTTTTCAAATGTTTACCAAAATTACTATGAATACCTACATGAAATATTCAAATCAAAAAATTTGTATGATGATTTTCGAAATATGAGAAAACTAAAGAGAAGACAATTTTTGAGAGACTTATCAGCCAACCTTCTTTTGGTGTTAGATAAAGATAATATGCTGAAGTGTTCATTCAACATATTATTATCATAAGCATTTATCATATTACTGATGTACAACAATAGGGGAATCAACTCGTACATGGTGCATACCTCTTAATAACCCGGGAAACAACTAATACATTAGTCTCGGGAATCAACTCAACAACAGAGATATCATCAAACGATTTTATACTTTTTTATTGTACCTAACTCAAAAAGCAATAATCATAGAATCTTGAAACATTTCATTGTTACCTACTTAAATTGTAATTTTCTATACATTACTATACCCATTAAAAACTTATTGAATCAAAAGTAAAAAAAGTATTGTATGCAACTCAAAGTTAATAAAAAGGTGGGCAAGTGGGTATCGCTCTGCTGTACAGTAGGTTACAAGTGGGTCACTGTATAATGGATGGTATTACATTTGAATTCAATGATATTATATCAATGTATAAGAAAAACGATTCTGAGCGGAGACGGTATGTCCCTCTAGGTACAAGACATATTATATACTTATCCATGGTATTAAAAAAAAATTGACCTATAATGAATTCCAAATTAATCATATCACAATGTCCATTATGTACTTATAACGCGTTATACACCAACAACAAACCCTGATACTATCATAGATAAATTAGTAGTATACTTTAGAAGTTTTAAGTACTCACGAATTATATTATACAATCACAACAAAATAACTAAAATAGTTATTCTAGGTTTTTTATTATGTAATTTCGTCCAAATTTGAATTTAAAATGTCTGTAAAAATTAACTGTGTTCATATATTTTTTAGATTTTTTGGTTACAGTATGAACTATTTATGAGAACCTTTGTGTTAAATTTGTAATCCTTAGCTATAAAAACTGAACATTTTATAATTTATTAATTACAATGATTGATAATTTTGATAAATTTTGTCAAAATTCGATCTTTAAATGCTTATAAAAAAAAATTGTGCCTATGTATTTTTAATATTTTTCAATCGATATTGTTACAATATATCAGGAGCCTTGTATTAAATTTTTACACTTTTTGGCCCAACAGATAAAACTTTATTGATCTTTATAGAAAAAAAAACTAAAAAAAATTGAAAGCTGTGAATGTCCGTAAACAGCTCAAAAAGAGTCAAAATATTTTCAAAATTGTATGGTGTATAGGAAATGCTAATATAAACATTCAGTGAAATTTTCATGTATCTACAGTTATTCGTTTTTGAATTACAACAAAATAAGGAAATCGCTACATGAGAAATCGAGTGAATATCCAATGTTGTAAAAATTTGAATTTCAAACGCTCATAAAAATTTAATTTGCTTTCTTATAGACATTTTTTTTTTTGATAAAGGTAGATAATCTTATAAGGAATCTTGTATTACATTTTCAAATCTTAGATTTAAAAAGAAAACATTTTACGAATTCTTAACTCAAAATTTGTTAATTTTTGTGATTTTTCCATATTTTGTCAATTTTTGAACTTTAAATGCTTATAAAAAAAAAAAATGTGACTAAGGATTTTTAATATTTTTCATTTGCCTTTGAAACAATATACTAGGGGCCTTCTATTAAATTTTCAAGCTTTCGCAACCTACAAATAAAATTTCATTGATATTTTTAGAAAAAAACTAAAAACAAATGGAAAA